CGCGCGCGATGGCAGTGAAGCCCACGGCAACGGCGGCTCCGGCACGCCAGCTGTGCGCCATGTGACGTCACTGCTCCTCGCGCTTGCGCAGACCGGCGAGGCGCGCGCGGTGGCGGCGGAGCACGCGGCGACGGCGGCTCCGCCCCGCCAGCTGTGCGCCGTGTGACGTCACTGCTCCTCGCGCTTGCGCAGTACGGAGCACGGCTCATTATGGGAGCCACGCGAAACTGCTCAACCTCGGCCAGTGTAGCTCACGCTACAAAAATGAAAGGTTATTAAACGCGCACAAAATGTTTTTTCCTTCTCATGTCACGTGCAAAGTTTGCGATATTGTTCTAAAGTCAATAGAAGGATGCAGATTATTTAGATAAAAAATTGCGAAGTTCATACACCACGTGCTTGCACATACAAAGAATAATAACGCAGATCACCCGCACATGATAAAAGTCTAGAAATAAAAAGAGCGGTAACGATCACAGTCGCGATACGTCACAAAACAGGCATTTGAAAGCCCTCTTCGCTTTCTTATTCGAGTCAAAAGAAAACAGGGAATCCGGTAGCTCATTAAATATTTTTTTCAAAAATAAAACGAGCGCATACTTCCCCGTAGTGTGTTCTCACACGTGAATCTTGAAAGCGTCGAATAGTACGAAGCTCACAAGATGGAATGGACGAGATATTAAGTTCACTTGGCCATGAGTGCCGCCGCACGAATATTTATAATAATAATAATAATAATAATAATAATAATAATAATAATAATAATAATAATAATAATAATTTTATTCAACAGGAAACCAGTAACACAATACAAATACGGGTCTGTCAAAGCCATAGGAGGCTTGTGGGACATGACCCGGCAAGTCGAGCGACGAAACACTGAGCGTTTTATACAAGAAAACCACACAACAAAACAAAAGTCAGAGGATGTAGGAAACACTGGAGCGACAGCAACGTTATACGGCTAATTAATAATAATAATAATAATAATAATAATAGTAATGTGTTGATTCCACACCTGTTATCTTATGTGCAAGTCTCAAAGTTGACAGAGGAATTTAAAAAGTGGGAAGTTATGGGTGACGATGTTTAAATTAATTGTTGGGTGTGCCGCTGTGCTTTCAGGTTTATCGTAGAGGGAAGTTGCGAATTCGTTCACATCGTTCTTAAGAGAAAGGGTTTCAATTATTGCTAAAGAAAAAAATTTCAGTTAAAAAATGCTTGAACTCTTCTACAAGTTTCCTTTCTTGAATCTTGGATTTGTTGCGATGCCGGTAACCACGTAATTAAACAATTGACATCATTGCGAGAATCAAGACACGAGTGCGCGCCAGCCTTGCTTTAGGATTCTGCCTGACTAGTCAAGACCATCAGTCTTGTTTCCACAGATACCTAAAATTTGCACGGGATTCTTGGAAACGCGGGCCTAATTGCTTTCGCGAAAACGACGCATTGCACAGAAAGAAACTAGAAGCTGTAGTGATCTGTGTCAAAAGACTGAAATGTATTTGCGTTATAAATAAATAAATATAAAACGGTAAATAGTTACTTATTAGTAATAATATTTATTTTTGCCTTTAAAGAGGTTTCAATTAGAAAATGAATGGGAATCATTCAGAGCTATTAAATGTATCCATATTAAAATATTATAAGGCACGCGCAGCAATGTAAAGGGATTGTCCGGTCGAAACCGGAAGTACTTACGTTTCTCCGCTCGTTACGTCGAGGGAGCCTTCATACAGAAAACGTCATTTTTATTTTGATATATGATCTCCCCTTATTAATTAAACCTTCCATGAGCGTATGTACGAAACTGCACCCCGAATTTCGCCAGTGTCAATGGCTGACATCTGTAGCTGCTGCGTGACGTCACAAACCCCAAAGATTGTCGGATGGTCGGGATAACAAGCGTTGGTCGATAGGTGTCTTGTATTTTGTTTAGAATTATATAGTCTCCTAAGATGTACCCTACTGAAACACGTTCCTTTCAATGCAGTTCCCAAGCCTCTGCAAAAAACGTCACGCCTTTTAGCAGGATATTACTCGAAAACAGCCATAAGCTTCGAGAAAACCTATGCCGTTTCGCGTAAACACAACTACGACGGCCACCCATCGAACTAAGAGCGCTTGCAAAGCAGAGGAAGCAGATTTTGCCTCTGAAGCGGCATCTGGGTACACATATCGGCGGATCCACTGGATCGGTGATGAGGCTGCGGGTCGTTCCCTCGGAGGCGATGTCCGCGGGTCGAAGGCGAATGGCGAATTGTTTAAATGCATAATGTCACTCGACTTGGACGAGCTTGGCGAATCGTAGCCACGCTCCGTTTTCACACGCGGGTCAAACAGGATCTGGCTGCACACGTGATAAATACAACTTTTGGCATCGTTTCCAAATGGCCTAGCTGCTGGTTTTGGTTTCGCTGGATAATCAGACCCATTGATCAGATTTCGGCGAGGACTGGGTGAACATGGTTGAATATGATTGTCACAGCATCACACCTCAGCTTACGAGCCTTCTGCCCGCTTAGAGCTCAGCTCGTTGCTCTCTTCTGTGAGATAATATCTGCCTAAGCGGGATCTCTTATCTTGACGGGAACCCTGTCCCTACGCACGGCGACGATTCATTTGGCTCGTCACTGCACGTCTCTCGGAAAAGTGTGGAACCCCACGTCTTGGCTCACATGTGCTGCCCGGCAATTGTCACAACCAAACGCGCAAGAAAAAATCTCACCGGTCCACGAAAGAAGTCGAGCGTAACAAGAAAAACGAAGCACGCTGCGGCGTTTGCTAGCAGACAAACGACAAGACGGAAGTGCTCGCTTTGCGTTGTGAGACGTTAGAGCTTCAATGTTGCCAACGAAAGCAGCGTTTACGCTAGGATGCGATTGAAGCAGTATAAATTCAATTACTAGTGCAGACGAGCACATAACATGCAGATATTAAACGTATGACGCGTCTCGAGGCAATAATAATGATATACTTAAGGCGTTCATAAAGAATGCTCAATTTGGACGGGTTTCTAGGTTTCGGTTTTTCATCGGAGCGCATCTCAACGACAGAAATCCAAGGCCCAAATGTGGATCGCTTTGACACAGACCGCTACGGCATCAAGATTTTTTCTGTGTGATGCATAGTTCTCGCAGGAGCTATTTTCGCCCGGGTTTATACGAACACACTGCATACCTCAATATCACCCTCAGGTTATCCCTTTCAATACCTTTGTTGTAATTTAGGCCGTGTTTAAAGATCTTGTAAATCGGATGTATAATGACTTTAATAAAAAAAAAAAAACAGTGTTTGCAAACGGTGGTTTACCGGTGGATAGAATTGTTTACACAATTGTATCTACCGTTCCAAATTATTTCCTTTTCCAATTGGTCAAAATCGTGGTAGCGTAAACGATAGTTTACGTGGGATATAAATTTTTACTGACAAAACTTATTTGCTTGAGAGGGTTTTATTGCCAAAATGGTTGCTTGAGAAGGTTTGTGTATTTATTTCACAAAAAAAAGTGCAGCGTCTGTAAAACACAGTTTACCAATGAATAGATTTTTTTTTTTTAAATGTCTGTATATTCCTAAAGTTTTGTTCTAGAATATTACAAAATTGAGCTCACGTAAATTATACATACTGTGAAGGAGAATTAAGAGGGTTCAATTTCTTCGTGATGATTTTAACCAATCATTTCCCGATAAATCGAACTTTTATTTTACTATAGAACAATTGACAGCTTAATGTATGTTTTGCTTTTGTGTAGCCATTCGTTGTCGTTTAATTAAGCACACCTTCAGGGCACTGCTAAATATACGGAGCTTCAATTACGATGGTGATCATACTTCTAACATTGGGAACGAAAAACACGAGCCCAGTAAAATGATCTAATGAAGCTGTCCGTACTAGAAAAGGGGGGGGGGGGGGAGTTAGGGGTGAGGGCTGCGTGTATATTTTATTTTTGTCCGATCCCCCAAACGGTCATCCTGGCGATTACCCCCATTAATTGGAGACAGTTACATAAACATAGAGGGGAAAACATTGCTTAAGAAAAAGGCCGGGGTAGTATTTAGTTAGGCAAGGTGGCAGAAGTTACCTCCCGTTAACAAAGGTATGTCGTTAATATGTGTATCCGTTCATTCTTAAGTGATGATATCACATCACAAAATCTACAGATAAGTAATTCCGCCACAGTCATTCAAAGTAGATCACACACTTGTTACAAAAAATCAAAGCGATTTATCGATGTTTTGGAGCTTGAGCCAGAAATCATCAAGAGAAATCTCGAACACTTGACCGAATGTCTAGTTAGAAGAGTCGCCCCTTTCTCCCCCCTACAAGAGACCGGGCACGTCGACCGGGTTTAAAACTGATATTTTCGATTACGAAACAAACAAAACTGAATCGTTCGACAGTGTACAAAGAGAGGTATAATATTTATATGTAGACTATCTTACTCACTATGATTGAATGCTGTCACTGTGTCGTTCAGTTACGACCATTCGGTTTCGATGAATCTTGCAAAAATTAATGACCTTTGCCAGTGTCGCATAATTCGTACGATGAAGTAAAGCAATCGGTTGGATGCTCAAAATTTTCCTTCCGAAAGCGAGTGGGATTCAGCACTCATGTACTCGCGGCAATAAAATTATCTCAAAAATGCTCGTAATCTTTAAGCGCAACAGCGAAGAGTGTACAACCGCTTTAACGAGTGCGTAGTTTTTCGTCCTGCGATCAAACTAATTGTTGTTCTGTCGAGATGGTGCCCTAATACTATAACCTCTTCTTGCACCTCTGTCACCTGCATTGATCACCTGTTAATTGTTTCTTGAAAAACATACTTTTTCCTAATGTTTTATGTTTTTTTTTTGTTTTAGTTGTCATTTGTAGCTCGTTCAGGACGTCCTGATTTTAATATTAGACACGTTATTTAAAAAGAAAAAAGAAAAAAGAACGACAATATATATATATATATATATATATATATATATATATTTACTTCCCATTTCAGAGACACAGCTCTCCTCAATTACCACATTCATTCACCTGCGCACACAGTAACCTTCGACTCAACAGGTAATGTATATATATATACATCTATGTGTATATATTTGTTTAATATAAAGCAACGGAGATTTTCGATGAAGTTGGTAAACTGTTGTCTGGTATTTGCCTAAAGCAATTTGAGAGCGTAAAAAAAACATTACTTTTATGAATACTGGGGGACGTCAATATAGAATAAATACACCCTCCCTTTGTTTCGCTTCGCGTACATTCAACTGACGCAAGAAGGTTTTTTTTTTTTGTGTTGATCTGCTTGCAGATAAATTATATTTAGATAGCGTCACAGGTCGAGATTTGAATCAGCTTATCACTTTTTTTAAGAGAATATGCCAGGTCTATTTCAGTCAAATCAAATATCACGCTACTGAATAAACGCGGTCACCAAACGCTCTATGGGGTAAAAAAGCGTATATAATATTCAAATGCAAATATTTATACTTTTCGTTTTAATTTGCATCAAATGTTATATTTTTAACTCTAGGTTGTGTCCTTTCGGAAAGGTTTTAAATATTAGAAACCTTAAAAAGCGGCGTGATTTCAGATAACATTCAGAGAATGTCCGGGCCACGTTCTAATATTTCTTAAAAATATATTTGAGTGCGTAATGTAGAAAAAGTAAAACCTCATATATGTTTCACACACAAAAGTAAACTTAACCGGACGTAAAAAAATAGAGATTGCTGATCTTCAAAAAAAGAAATGACTGCACAATTTTCTCGCATCCTAGTTTCGACCAAACCAATACCACCTAGAGCCCTAAACTCGTCAAACCCAAAGTTGGGGCAGAAGCTCACGGTGCACGCCGATTGGACTCGCGCGACGATGACGCAGCGTTTTTTACGCCCATGTCCAATGAGCGCGCTCCGCGAACTTTCGGCTCCAACTTTGTGTTTGACGAGTTTGGGGTCCCTGGAAGACAAGGTCTGCGCATGACGTATCGTTAGTAGATGCCCGACCCGCCCCAAGCGGCAAGCACCCCGAAGCTTGACGAGAGTAGGGGCCCCGCGGAGCGCGGGCGAAAAGTGATCGCAGCGTCCCTGGCGAGCTCGGAGCCTCCGCTAGCAGACGGATTCTCCGCAACGCATTGGTTTTGCCTATTTCCGTGCGAGGTGACCAACGAAAAATAATAATTGTCACGGGTATTCGCTGCTTTGAATGTGAAAAATAGGTGCAAGCGTCATAAGTGAAGGATATTTTCTTGGCGTGGGAAATATGTTAGAGCTTTCATGTTGCAATTTTGGGGCTCTCCTGAAGAAAATACTCTGTCATAACTTATGTAAGCGAGACAAAACACGAATGCACCTTCGCACTGTTTTTTGAAAAAAGGGTAATGTACAAAAAGTTTAGAACGTAGCTACGTTTCAAGTTTACTGTTCTTATCAATGAATTCGTTTCGCTATTGCAGTTCCCAGTTCTCATGAACATCATGCTTATAACCGTTTTGTCGAATAGGCGAATAGGAAGAAGTAGCAAAAGGCAATTTTGAACCACATACGTCATTGCGATGTGAGTAAGCTCTGGAAGAACTCGATTGTGCACCTGCAAATTTGACGCCATCACTAAAATTAATAAAGATGGAGTTACAAGAATAGAAGACTTCTTGCGCGTCCAAAAGAAAAATAAAAAAAAAACGAGAGCGTGATGTGCAAATAAAGGTGATTTCTGTAACGTCATATACGGTGCACAAATTCCGATTGTTAGCGCCGGGACGACTAACGTCTTCGTCGTCTTCTACAATAAAAGCAGGCACCCGTTGGACCGTCAGCAACTCCTTCCATTTTTCTATGTCTACTTTCTTTTTATCTTTGAGGAGACTCTACGCCGTTGCGTTCCTTCGTCCTCCTGCTTTTATGTTGTTTTTGTTTTTCCCCTTTTTGTTTCCTTGACGTTCGAACCTTCGGGTATTTTGTTTTGCCTTGTTTGGCTTAGTTGTTGCTCTCTTCACTTCGACGCTTACTACCGCCAGTCCGTCTGCTACGCTGTGCTCGGAGATTTTGAGCGCCCTCTGCAACTTTGTTGTTGTTGTCGTTTTCTTCCACTATAGTCTGCGATAACCTCCTGTTTTCGCCTTCGATTAAGTTTATATTCCGAAATCTTCATATGTGCTTTTTGGTATTTATTAGATATATTGAAAAGTGTAGGCTCGTTATATATTTATACTCAAATTTGATTTGTCTATGCCGGAACGTCTGCTATGTTCCGGTGATCCGGAACATAGCATGTCATATTCTGCCTCCCACTGCAAAAACAAGATTTTGCGATGTGTCAGAAAATCCTTCTTCCGCTTCTCGAAGACCTAACAAACGTGAGTAATTAAGTTGCTGCAGGATTCAAAGTAAACTAAAACAAACAACTGAAAAAAAAAGTGACGCTCCCTTGTTTATGTTGCAGGGTTTTCATTTTTTTTTCTTCATACGCGCGCAATGATTGTTGTGGTTGAAGGAGTGTTTTGCTGGGTGATTTGCTTCTCTCTATCGTCTGCTAACTATTAGTTTTATTCACTGTTGTTCGCCACCTGTTACCCATTTCTCTTTATTCTCGTTTGAGAAGGGGACCCCATCTTTGCTGCAAAGTTCGGAAAATGTTTGCATGGTAATTTTCTCGTTACTTCTTTGTTTTTGTTATGCTGCCGCGGACTGGTAAGCTTGCTGTGGTAATCTTAACATGTTGTTTGCGGAAGTTTCAATGATCACCTATTTAGGTAAGGAACTATGACAACGCAGTCTGTAACGGATCAACAGTAGCCTTTTACAACGTAGTTCGAGCAGCTAAGCGCCTTTCTTCTCTTCCCAGATGCGCTCCAAGCTCGTGTGATCATCTGAGTGGCGTTTAAGACCGCTAAATAGGCAGCTCTATCTTAGCTTAAGCGAGCGTTGTTATTTGATTGTCGTTGCAGTTGCGATCAGTGGATTCAGCTTCGCATGCGAACTGTCCGTAATGAATTCTTTCAGCTGTTAGGGTGACGAAACGGGGCTCGCAATGCGTCTGCTTACGTAGACTCAGAATCCTAGAGAGGCGTTCGCCGCCGCTCCAATAGGTTTACAGAGGAACTACGCCGCATTTACTGGCGGCAAGAGCTGCGTGCGCGACTGCTCAGCGCGAGCTGATAACGAGCTACCACAGTTTATTTGCAGCGTGCATGCGACACCATCAAGACTGCCGGTCTTAGCAATGTGAGCTCGTTCTGAGCACGACCACTGAAGCAGGCGATGGAGCAGGCGGTGGAGCAGACGATGTAGCAGACGATAGTGCTCATCCGGGCTACCTAGGGGGCGCTGAGGGGATCTACTAGTGATGACGTCTAGAGGAGGAAACGCGCAGGCCCTGTGTTATAGGTGGTATTAACGAAATCCAACGAACAGCAAAAAAAACAAAAAGGCAATCATTTGGGCCTTTGTTTTATTATTATTTTCTAAAAGCTCGAAACACTTTGCAGCGTCGCATGTTGCAATTTTTCTATTCTAAGAAAGTCGATGGAGGCTTCAGTCGGCCATCTTGGGTGGCAAGAACATACAGAGAGCAAGTGTTCCAAAAAGCGTCTTTTGTGCATCAAAACATGAGGAGGAGGGTCACGTCAATCAAAGTGCAACGTAGAGAAAGCACAGGATAATGGGGGAAGCCAAGCGCCCTCCGTCATTAGTTCAAATCGGGGAGAAACGAAAGCACGGGGGCGCATCGGGAGGGTAAACAAACGCACGAGGTGCGAAGAGAGCAGAAGAACCTGCCAGGCCGTATAGTCACTGACCGCTTGAAAAACTCAGAGCGTGGTGAGTCCCAAGAACACCTTCGTAACACTTCGCAGCCAATCAGACTGCGGCAGCAGCCAGCGCCGAAGAACCAATCACGAAGCAAGAAGAATGCACATAATTAACCACCCTTTCTGAAGCTGTCATTGATTATGAAGCAAATCAGTCGCTTGCGTTCTTTTCTTGCTTTTTTTTGTTTTTGTCCGAGATTTTATATTGTTTTTTTATCATTTTTTATAGTATTTTCCGTGTCTTTTCTTTTACAATTTTTTTATATGATTTACCATTTCTTTTTTTTTTAAAGAGTTGCTTGATACGTTTAGAAACTTTTTCGGCGCTTTTATGCTTCTGCACCACATACCTTGAAACCAAGCCTAAAGACCCACTAGCACGAGAACATTCTGAGAACATTCCGAGATTGTTCAAAAGAACATAGGCAACATGCTTGGAATGTTGCAAATTTATGTAAGAACATTCTATAAACGTTGTCAGAATATGGCGCAAGCACTTTTCGCTACATTCGGGGAATGTCTTCAAAGGGATATTCCTACAACGTTCTGAGAACGACATAGAACATTACCAGGGCATTCAATCAGCATTTAAATATCCTAACAAGGTGTTAAGAACATTCTCAGAAAACCCAAAGGACTCCTGCAATTTCCTTCAGTTGTTGCACATTTCTGCAAGAACATCCTTTCAATCTCCTCGGAACGTGGCGCCCCTACATTCAAAAAACATTCTCTGAGGCTGTTTTTTTTTTTTTTTTTTTTTCGTTTTTTTTACAAAGATTCTACAATTACAGTTTGGTTAGGCTACAGCCCCAATGAGCCGTACGACATATATAGATTTGGTAAAGTTTATTCCAGAGCGATCGATATTTTTTAATCAGAGATATTTTTAGAAAGCGGCTCGAGGTAGCCACTTTACCAGCTCACCAGCCTGAGCATTTAGTCACGACAGTTAACTCGTACCTTCTTTCATTCAAAATGCGCTGCATACATAACCGCTCACTCATTCCGAGCTTAAGAAGAGATATACATGCCATCCCACACTCAACTGCAGGATATGATGCTTTCAAAGTACTGAACTCTAGATGCCAAAAATCGGGTCTATTCCAAACTGCACCTCCACATACGCAACGAGTGCCAAGTTCATTATTAAGTTTTGAAAACCATTGCTTTTCTCCTACACCTTATATCACATTCCTCAGTAGACTCATATAAGATAAAACTGATCCCTTATGCTAAGTTTCCAGAAACTCCGCTTAATTTGCATATTTTTGCCACAACGTGGTAATAGTGGTTGGTGTTTCAAACCACAGGTTACGTGAAAGTTTCATAAAGTTGGCTTCACCTGCGAAAATTCTAGGAATGTTTGCAAGCGTACGTTCCAAGAATGTTGCGCAAATAAATGTTCAAAGGCAGGTGTTTCGAAAACATTGTGCATACGAATGTTCGCCAACGAACGTTCCTAGAATGTTGAGCAGCTTACCTTGTAGGGAATGTTTGCATAGGAATGTTCCTAGAACGTTTCAAATGTTGTTTTAACGGTCCTTCAAGAGTCAGAATACCCAGGAAATGTTCGCACGACATTGGGTGCTACGTGGGAACTTTGAATCTTCTAATGTGGTGAAAGAAATTTCTAAATGGTTCGCATATTGTTAAAAAAAATCTAGGAGATGAAACACCGAACGCCCGACACGTCCTTGACCCTTGGGATGAGTGGTATTTCTATCTAGAAATTAAAATATCTGTATATATTGTTTTTTTCAGCTCATAAATATAAGACGTGTGGTCAATACTTCTTTTTTTCAGGAACGACATCAGAGGTGAGTCTCGTCGTGCTCCGGGAATACAAGGTTCACTACATAAGTAAGCAAACCGATTACTCAAATATCTTGCACGTGTATACAGATGTCAAAGACGTAGCTACGTTTTTGCGCCCCTTTTACCGGGTTAAAAGAAAGCTGAAGCGTTGTTTTTTTATCTTTTAGAACGCTGTTTGAGTTAGGATCTATGCACCTTAAGGTGGGTGCAAATTAGTTTTTCGGAGTTTTTAGCAGAATAAACGTATCAATATCAATATTAATTCACAAAGTAATCTTGGGTCCTAGCTCCGCTCTCTGTCACCCACCGAGCGCGAAGAGAAAAGAGTGGAAGAAAGTAGCGAAAGTAACGTCACAGGCCGTGTCAGATGAGCCTTGCTCGCCTTTCAGCTGACTGGCATATGCAAACGACAAGGGCACGACGTCTATTAGAGACAACGGGCGGCAAAGGCTTGCCGCATGCCGAACTGCAAATGCAGCACCCTTTTTTCCCCCTTTTAATCCGCGTAAAAATTGTTTACGCCACATCCTGTCCACATTAAGTACAATACTCGAATTCAGACGATAAAAAATTCATAAAAGGCTTCTCCTAACTCAATAGTTTTCTTCTTTATTTTTGTTTCCTTCGAAAAGTGCTTTGAGTGCCCTTTACCTAATCAAAACCATTTTTAAATCCGAACCTTAAAATCTGCGCATTGTGTGGTTCCATAAGATTATAAAACAAAACAAAACAAAAAAAAAACAATAATAAGTACAATATCAGAAGTCTTACCTTCGCCGTGCCCTTTGAAAACTATGGTGTTATGTTAGTGTAAGATAATGCGCTTCCCCGCTTGAACACGTGCGCTGAAGGAGCACGCAACTTTGACGTAATGAATGAGCACGATAGTACGCTAGTTTGGGCTGTCGCCTCTATTTCATACTTTCCTCGCCGTTCTATCAAAAGTAAACACGCCATTGAACGCTGCAAGGTCTTGGAACCGATTTAGATTCTCCAATGTTATACCACCAACATCGATAACTATGTAATCCTCAATCATGGAGGTAGGAAGCTTCAGGAGGTGACATGAGGCCACCAAAGGTGAAGCCAGAAGTGAGAGGGGACACGACCCAACGATGACCAAAACCAAGAGACGCTATTGGACGACAAGAGCTCTCGCATTTTCGTCCAATAGCGTTTCTCAGTTTCTTTTATCGTTAATGACGGGGCCCTCCTCGCTTCTGGCTTCACCTCTTGTGGCCTCATGTTGCCTCCTGAATCTTCCTACCTCCGCGTTTTCAATTGACCCCTCTGAAAAGTGCGTCAAGCAACACTGAGGGCCGCCTTTGTTTGGGCGTCGCTTTCTTGGCGAAGCGTGCGATTGGATCGAAATTGACGCCGAACGCTGATGCTCCTTTCGTGCCCAATGCATGCTCAAAATTCGAGCCCAAAATATGGCGGCCTTGGATCAGCTACCGAAGGGCGCCCGCTCTTGAAAGTGATCTGTCCCTAAATGGCAGAGTTCTTTGAGCCAAAATTTTTACTTTTGTCTAGCAATTTAGGGCCTTAAAAAGTTCGAAGAAGCCGAGCTAGACCAAAACTTCGTTTGTTTGGCAGTAGTCTTGGTACCTTGGCCTTTGTTTGACAAGCAAGTGCCTATATAGACCAGGTGTGAAGTGTAGCTAGGCCTCACTGCTGGTAGTTTTGCTGTCATCTGGCACTTAGGGGCCTGAATCACCAAACAAATGCAAGTGATAAGCTTCAATTTTGTTGTTCGCTTTTTATAAGGCAATTTTGGGCCCATAATGTCAAACAAGTGCCAGATTTAGGCTTCAGTGCTGTTTCTTCCTTCATACGTGGCACCTTTGCATCAAACCTGGTACTTTGGCAATATGTGGAGAATTAGAGAGAAGCCACACAAATGTCAAAGAAAAGTACTTTGGCACTAAGTAACATCTTGGAGTAAAAGCCGCATGAGGCACAATTTAGGCTCCTAGGATTCCCAAGCTTGCGCCAAGTTAGGCGCTTCTCTGGCACCTTAGATTATGCAAAAATATTTCGAAGCACCAAATGATGTCATGACTCTGTCACTCCTAAAACATCAAGACATGCGTTTATATTTATCCCCGATTGCTTTAGCCGAAGTGGTCCGCGGAAAAGAGCTCGTTGGCAAGATCTACGACGTGGATTTCAAGTGTACCAACGCTCAAGAGCTGTACAAGGAGGTGTGTCCGGATGGATGCGGTATGAAGCCTACGAGGGACTTCTAGGTCTAGAGTCCGCAAAATCTTCAAGAAACGTTTTCTCGACGCTGGATGCAAACTCAAATAAACCGCCATTCGAGCACAAGGTATCAGAGAGTTCGTATTCCATTCCTGAAAAAGAAAGATTCGATCGCTAAATACATACGAAATTGCATCGATTTCGCGAAACTTACCAAATGTTAACAAAACGGAGAATAATCATAATTCCTACGATCATGTAATGGGACATATGGAAAGTCGTTATTAATATTTATGCGTGAATGCAAAAAAGAACTGTACATTTATTTAACTTCATTTTATTTATTTCATTATTCTCTACCAGAAATGTCGTGACTAAAAAGGGTCGACGACCGTAAACTGAAAATAAAGGTTTAATTGGAGAACTTATGCAGAAAACAAAATAAATAACTAGCTTTGAGAAAATAGTAGCGCTCGTCGACGGCGGCAGCAGCGAGCGACGGTTCGTCGGCGTGACAGCTGGATAGAGCGAGAGTGAATGTGTCTCGTTGTCCGGAGGCCTGGTTCACACTTGCCAATCGGCGGGCGAATCTGCAAGAATTCGGCCGCCGGGCATAGCGTCGACTGTGCACTGCCGCGGCCGATTCCGCTTCAGCAGCAGCGGATTCGCTGTTTGTATGAACCAGGCCGGAGAGTTTGAGTCGGCAAAGCCGCGCTCGGTTCCTTATCTACTACACCCCGTATCCCGAAGATTCGACATAGAATGTTTGGGAGTGAGCAACAGCAAAACTGACGAGGCAAGATCCATTCTGGCCTCCTTCTCTTTTACACTCAATGCAAAAAAAAAACACCAATCTTCTAGGTGTGCGCAGAAGTGTTCCTTCTCGGTCATTCACGCAGTATTACTTACCACTTTAGAATTGTGTCGTACCGGTGCAAGCTTAAACAAGTTAACAAAAAGCTAAACCAAATGGCCGTTTACAACAACCTTTGAAGTCGACTAAACCATAAATAGCAGGGGGAAGGGGGTGCCGCCGCTTCCAATGCACCCTCCTCAGAATTTATGGTGCTCCGTGGGGGCCGCCATGTTAAAGCTTGATACCAGTGTTGCTGCATCTGTAGGTCATCTTTAAGTTAGAGCAGACAGAAAAAATCTGGCCACGGCGCAACGCCGATGTACGCTGGATGCTAGAGCCGGTTTGCTTTCGTTGTTTTTGTTTGGTCGGAGAAAATCTAGCAACAACGCACGTTCAACAAGGCGGCGGTATTGTTTTGGTTTGACGCGGTTTGCGAGCACATGTAGCGAAGACGCGACCGGAGAAGTGCCCCTGTGATGGTCGCGGAAGACGGAAAGTATCATTCGTAATCGTCGTGTGTGCTTTGAAAGCGAAGGGAGTCACAGGGTCCACGAGTGCGCAACCACAAGCCAAGGTTCACGACAGCGCTCCGTTGGCTTCGGCGATATCGTTCTGTTTGGTGCATAGAAATAGGTTTGGTGCAACACGGCGATGCGACAAAGAGTTGAAACGTTCGTGGTGTGTGGTGCGGTGCTTGGAGGTTGAAGCCCATACTAACACGAAGCGCAAATTTGTTATTGTGGGGTTGAAATTCAACGGGTTTATCCCGTCGTCGTCAGCTGATCCGGTCCAGCTGGTCCGGGAGGACGCAGCGAGCGCTTTTAAAAGTAGGTCTTCCTTCGTTCCGTTTCAAAATCTGAAAGATTCTCGACGCATACCGTGAGTAAAAATTTGCGGGCGTTTTCACCAAAATTGCGTTGTTTTAATTGAACAATGGACCCCGGATTATTGTCCTAGACCTGCTGTGTTTATGCTTCGTGTTGTTGGCGTTTGCACAGCGACGCACACCGCCCGAGTAAATGATTAGGTCCTGCAAACGACCGGTCATACAGAATTTCAGGGAAACTTAAGTCAGCACCGATATTTTCTCGTAAATCTCGTGTGAGTTTGTTGCGCTTATCATGTGGTGTGAATAAATTAGGGCAGCATTTCCTACCTGCCTACGGATGCATGAACTGAGCCCATGTTTTACGTAGTGAACATAGCGTTTTTTCTTCATTTCGGAAAAAGGTGCTGGTGAATATATTATGGTACAATCACTCTAGAGTTCAGGAATCTGGGAGAGCGAACATGCTTTCCCAACTTTGTCTCTTTTTTCTCTGGCATTGCCCCTAGTTTCAAGTTGCAGTTTCAGTAGACATACCTATAGCAGCAGGTACATACTGCTCTAAAGCAGATAAAAGACTGGTAAGTCAGGGCGGTGCGGACTCCGTGTTTCGCGCTTTTCGCAAGGCGACTGGGTAAGTGCTTTTGCGAGGTATGCGGAATACGCAAACGATTTTGTTAGGACGAGGATATTTTGCCGGCAGCCGGCATTTTCGGCTCCCGGTAATTATTCCGGCACAACGGTGGCGCCACCGTAGCCACTGGTGGAGTGCCGGCATAATTAACAGAATCCGAAAATGTCGGAAGCCGGCTTTTTTTTTTTTACCTCGTTCATTATGCTGGCAGCCGGCATTTTATGTGCGTGTTGATTTTGCCGGCATTAAATTTTATAATCATTCTGGATGTTCTGCTACATCACGCGTGTATTCCAACTCGCGTTTTAACAAAACCCGTCTAAAAAAGTAAAAAGAAAAAAAAAAAAAGGTAACAGGAAAGCAAGTTGTACATCAGCCGGTGTTCGGCAGCATGAGGTTTTGTGCTTCCAACTTTTAAACGTGCGTCTTCAACGAGTGGGACTGTTTCTGTTCCGCTGTTGCATATATTTTCCCCTTTCCCTTTCCATTATTACCGGGAGCGTGTTTACCCATGCGGGCCGCGTACCCTGTTACCGCTGGGAGGCCGGCACAGAAGGCGGCTCATTAAATTGGCTTCTTTTTGAAATGAGCCGCCTCACACTGTTGCCGGCGTCCCGGCTGTAACGCGGATGAGGCGTAGGCAGTCCGCACAGCCCTGGGCGGATCTGCCAGAAGCTGATATATTCTTTGGTTAGTCACAATATAATTCGAGCTTTTCAGTTTCGGTGGTTTTGTAGGCTTCTTTTCTCTAGTGGAAGTGCCAGTGTTGAATAGAGGCCAGGCCTTCATTTCGTATGCTTACCGATCAAAGTTTTGAAAAGGACTCCATCGCATGTTTTCTTTCGGTTATATATTTATTGCACAGTAAGCATGAAGATCGCATCACAGAAATTAATCCTACAATTTTTAATTGAAACAAAGGCTAGAAGCTCGACGCACATGCATGAAGCAAACATGAACAAAATGGAATATGGTACAACTGTTCGCTGAAGCAGCAGAAAGAAAAGAATTCGTTATTCATTTACATCGAACACATTGCCATAACTTTGCTTTTGCTGCCTCTTCAGGGAAGTGCAAGGAACATGAAATCACTCGAGGCACCAGTCACACATGATCGCATCAAAGTCTTCCAAATCCCCGTGACATGCATTACACTGCCAATGATGCAAGGACTTCTTCACATTTTGTGTGGTGGTCACAACAAGCCATGCATCGTCTGTAAAGAAACTTCTTCCAATATTAATGTCCACACTCATCTAAGACACCGCAGTGAAGTAGCTCGGGCTGTGTCTGCACATCTTCTTCAAGTACCCTTCCTTTCAGTGCACTGTTTGCAGCCTCTGCGCCTACCAGCCATGTGAGGATCACGTTCTTTTTTTTTTTTTTCAAAGATGGTAAGAGACCTGAAAGAGCTACGTCCTGCGGCGCGCTTCCTTTTCCTATGAAGTCCAATCACAGTTAGGGTGCTTCCTTTTGGCCGTCCACATCTTCGCATTTGAGGGGCCAACTTTACATCCTTTATAGTGGTGGTGGAAGAAGCAGGTTGCTCTCTGCTGTGTTCCTTGGCTCGCTGATTCCAGGTGTCATCACAGCTTGATTCTCCAGAAATTCAAACTGTCCTTACACCAGAGCTCTCTTTGGTAACTTCAGTTTGTACTACAGTGCAGAGACCCTCGTGATTTCCTTTTTGCACTTCAATGACCTCCGGCAGCCTGATCTGAGTAGGGTCATTGGTAACTTCAGCTGATGCCGAAGGGCAGGGGACTGCATTGCTGTTGGCCGACGCTTCCGAGAGCTGTGGGGACTTGGGGCACGGATCATGAGAGACCAAGCTGGCATTAACACCGTTGTCGGCTTGAGCACCCCTTTCGTTGATTTTGAGATGTATGTTGTCACCAACCATCCAGTAGTGTTGAAGTGTCTCCAGAATTTGCATTCTTCTTAGAAATCCGGCCATGGAAACTTCGGACAGAATGCCAGCAATTCTTCCTGCCACCGCCGAAGCTTTCTGGAACTTTTGATGGCTTGACAAAATTATTTGATGGTCCTGCCTGTTAAATACGAGATGTAGACCTTGGATGGTTGTCTAATCGATTTATTCTGATGGAGCCTTCGATTGAGCCTGGCGCAACGTTCCTAGCCTGGCGCTGTCTGCTCGTGCCCCGCGGCTCTCAAGCGCTCGGTGCGAGCGCAGCCGATGGTCACGAGCCGATGGGCGCCAGCTTGCCAGCCGCTACATAACACCCCCTCCAACTAGTCGTTGCTCCCGTAGCGTTGCGGTTGTCGTCGCGCTCTAGTGCCCCTCCGGGTACCAGTGAAAGGGCCAGCGTCTGCCGTCGAAGGAGCTGACGCTGGTTCGCGAGGAAACGCCGCCGGCCTGCTACTGTTTCGCTGGGGTGATGCGTCTACTCGAGCTGGAGTATCTTCGCCGGGAGATGCTGCCCGTGGTGGAGTTGGACTCTGGTCAATCTTGAGGTCCCACACAGGAGACGGAGTCTTCGCTTCTTGTTGGGTGCTGGCTGCTGTACATCGCTGATGTATGTGGTTGGTATGCCGGCGTACCGAACCTTCATCTGTGTTCAGATAAAGGTTCATTACGCCAGGAACCCAGCCTTTGCCGTGTGGAAACTTCTTTGTCCAGACCGACTGTCCCACGCTCAGTTCCCGTGCGTTAGTGACGCTTTCCGTGCGGACTGGCTCTTCAGAAAGTACAGTTTT